GCAAGTCGCTAGAGAGAAAAAACATCCGAGTATACTCAAATGACTAAACCCAGCACCTAGAGTGTTCTACGGTTCTACCTGATTATTGTTTGTGTAAGTTGGCTCAACTGTGAATAGTTTAAAAAAGATCAAAATGTTGGCCAGTTTGTGCTGTAAATGTGAAATAAAGCTTTATGGTGTTGAACAATTTTCAGGATTTTAATTTTTTAGGACTGTTTTCTATACTTGTTGTAAAATATTTTTGAATAGCCACACTAAATTCACAGGAGTTAAAAGATTATTTTTTTTGACATACTGCAGCAAAAACAGCAATTTTTAACACACTTGTTGAGTTTATAAAGTAGCTCTTATTCTCACTAGGGAGTAGAAATCAGCTGTTGTAAACTTTGATTGTAAGCAATCACATGTACCTATCAAAAGTACGTATAGATTGTTTTAATTGGTTGTAGCTTATTTTCCAGCTTTAGCCTGGTTTTTTACTAACATTATAGTGTTTCGGATACTCAATTGAGGATGACAGCTGATTCCAGATGCCGAAAACTCAATAAAACCATCAAATCGCAGTACTATATTTTAATGCAATTTTCTACTGCGGAATCAATTATTTTGTTAACTAAATATTGATAGTCACTAATTGTAAGTCACAAGAGTATAAAATAATATAAAGAATTGACCTTCACTAAATTTGATTGGTTTAATTTACACATGTAAGGTCTCACTTCTTACTCCTACCATTTATTTTGCGTTAATAGTTTTAGCATACAAATGATTGATAAAAGTGTCCAAAATATATTACAAGACCTCTTGATATAAAGTTAAATACCTTGTTATTTACATTTAAATAAATTAAGGAATCATTCAGAGATACTTCAACTAGACAACATAGCCCTAATGAAAGAGATCACATATTTCAATCACTTATTTGTTCAAACCTTTTTCATTTTGCTAGCATAAAGAAATAAAATTTTATTTTATTTTTGTCATGCTCAAATTATTTTGCATCTTGCAGGGTTCATATTCCTAATTGTAAAAAAATATTTAAATTAAATTCTCGAGGTGGCAAACTAAAATAATATTCAGCTATAAAAATCTGTAACTACTTGTATATGGCCTGAATAAATTGTAAATTTGCTGTCTATACTTCAAAAAGAGAAGCTGTAATTAAAATAAATAGCAAAAACAAAACAATATTGGACATACCATCCGGAAACTAACCATCCATGCTTACAAAGCGGACGATCACAGGCACAAACAATGAATATGATAAAATGAATGAATTAAATCAGATATGACTTAAAATAAAACAATCATTTACTTGTGAACCTGTAATAATCAGCCCTAAAAAAATTACTGAATTAGAAGAAAATAGACAAAATAAATTAAATATAATTTATTAAAAAATTACTTGTATAAGCAGAGTAATATTTTCTTTGAAGAATCGTTTCTGAACAAGTGTTTAAGGAGAAAAGCAGATTCAAGGATAGGAAGGAGTTTCTTGCTGCGAGAGGTGAGGCTTTCCTCAAAATACATCTTTGTTTAGCAAACATGACTATGTCTGAAAATAAAACCATAAAATAAATACGACTCATCATGGAAACGAACTACCTTGGTCTTTGGGGTTGTTGTTGGGTTAGCTTACTTGAATGGGAAAGAATCCATTCAGGCACAAGAAACTAAAACATTTACACTTAGAATATGTCACAGTCACCAAGCCATTTCCAATAAGAAGGATTTGAGTGGAAGAAAGTATTTTTTGGGTTGAATGTAAAGTTGTCTTTCTCATGCTAGGATGGAATCTTTTCCTATTCAGGTAAGCCTGTTAACCCAATAATCCTGAAAGGCCTCGTCAATAGTTTTTCCAAGAGTTCAATTTCAATGCATTTACAAAGGTGGCTTAAGGAAAAAAACTTAAAAAATATTTTTACATTCAAAGATTAAAAGAAACAAATTTCCTTCCATTTTCTATACTTTAAAATGTGTTTCCAATAAAAATATATTTTAAAAAATTGAATAAAAATAACTATTTAGCCAGTGTCTGATTTAATCATGGAAAACATTTCAATGATTTTTTACATACAAATTTGTTATAAAACATGTCTAAAAAAAAGAAAACATGTGCCACATGTAAAGAAATAGTTATAAACTTGTGGTGGTATTTTTTGATATAGAAGTATTGTTAATGGCACTAATAAATTTATTCTTACTTTTTGATACACAATGAGGTTGAAGTACTAAAAAATAAAATATTTCAAGGAGAAAATAAAATAACAAAACCAAACTAAACAAAATAACGTTATTATTTGGAAAATATTCACACAATTTTAAAATTACATATAATGTACAAATCATAAATTACAAAATGCATATGACTTAAAAATACTTATAAAACTCAAAAATTTGAACTTGTTTTCAAATATTATGTTTCTATACTGAATTATGTCATTTGTCTACAACTAAATAATATGTAATTTAAGACAAATATGTTAAAACAATTTGTTATAGCTAAGCATATGATTGATCTGTGATGTGTCCTTGGTTAATTGAGACATAGAAAATAACACACTTGTGAAAAAAAACAACTCAAACCGTGTCTCATTTAACTATACTATACCTAGAGATCCGTTTGTGGCTTTGTGTAATAAAACCAAAACTGATAAACAATTTGATTAGCAAATATACCAGAAAAATTTAAGGGCATATTGTTAATATTTTTGTCCTTCCCTGTCAAAACCATTGTGTTTAAAAGGTGCAAAGGTGTTTAGATCACAAGTAGCTTCTCGTTAGTAAATTTGATTCTTTGTAGCAAGCTCATTCTTAGAGAGCTGATTGCCTAGACATGCTTCCTATTTTACACAAAAATATGATGCACAATAACAAAGACGGAGCAAGGAAGTTTTATGTAGTTATTTTCAGAACATTTAAAAGAAGTTGGACGAGGATCCTAACATTAAAGAATTAACGGAATGATAAAAAATATAGACAAAAGAAAATATTGACTGCAAAGTTACAAAACGGCAATAGAACATGAAACAACAGAGACTTTAATATTAACTAAGCACTAACTTTAACTAAGCTTTTCTGTAACTAAGCACGATAGACCAATGGGAGAAATAATCATTATTTAGGCTTTGATTTTATTAGTGTTGAAATAGCAGGGTAATAGTTTTTGGGTTTACAAAATGGTTTCGTTCGATAAACATGAAAAATTGAAATTTTTACTTTGAACAATACAACAAACTACGGAATTTTGTTGGTGTATCGAATGGCAGTTATCCATTATAAAATCTATTAAACGGTTAAAAAAAACCTTTCTTGCTACTGTACTAACATGATGGATATAGCTACTTACAACCTTATCCAAACGAAAATAATTCTTAGGTTAGATTTTCATTGCTTTGTTAAATAACACCATTGTAAACAAACAATAATCCTCAGAACCACAATAAAACATTGGTTTGATGGTAATTGCACTTGAAATTGTTCATATTGCATGAACATATTGTTGACTTAAGACAAAAACTATTCTATTACGTATCAACAGGCTGAAGTTAGGTTGCTTGATATCACAGACATTTCGATAATGTTTTTGATATAATTAGACAATCAATGAAAACAAAATAAGAAAACTCTGTCAACAATTGTAAAAAGTTATGTGAAGTGAAATTAACATTTACTAGTAACTTCTGTGTCTTTCATGAATTTGCCATGAGCTACGCCAGGCAGTGGGGTATTGCAGTAGTTTCATGTATCTTCCCAATCGGCTAAAAAAATAAATCGTGGGTGTTAATGAAAATTTACAAAACCATCCCAAAATCGCAAAATCATCAACAGAAAGAAGGAAAAGGTTTTGATCCATAACCAAATTAGTCTAAAGAAACCAAATAGTATTAGATTACAGTGTGTTTAGTGAGAATTTCAAATAATTTATGTACCTACACCACCCTGTCTCCAACCCAAATATTGAATTCAAACCCACTAGTGATGGTCAAATCCGGGAATTTCACAACTCAAATTCAAATTCCACAAAATCGAGTACCAAATCATGAATCCAAGTAAATTTGTTCAGAAAATACAAAATAGAATATTATATTGTGGGGATTAATTCTCACTATTATTAACTTTATTTTGAATCAGATAAAAAACTTGTTTGAAAACCCAAAATAATTAGAGTCTTGCCCTAAAAACTGAAAAAATTCCCTTAAAATTCTAAATCTTTTTAGATAATTAGACATCTCTAGATAAATTCTATTAAGAAGCCTTGAACGAAAGCACAGGTTGTTGTAGTACCACCAGATGTAAGTAAATATAAGATTTAGAATTAAAATCTCGACCTTTTCTTGAAATTTGGTGAATTCAGTATTCGGTTTTGACACATCACTAAAATCCACCCTTTTAAATGTATTACAACTTTTAACACTTTCACTTTACATTATTTAATCTTACAAAAGAGGATTAGAACTATTATGTACTTTCAGCATTTAGTATAATCTTTACATCATTGTTAATATATGGTAAAAAAGTTTTTTTTAAATTGACTAATATTAAATAACTCAAAAGGTATGAGAACATTCGCTTCCAAGTCTTACAATACCTCAAAAAATATGGGAAGTCTGGCGACTTGAGGCGAAGGAGTAAACAAACTAAGAAATTCCTGCTCATAATACCAATTAATATGATTTTTAATCTAATTCTTAAAAAAATTATATGCAGCAAAAGGAGATTTCAAGGGGATAGGTTTTGCTGATCAAGGTAACTTATCAAAAATTATTTCAGAGCGAAATTGACTGACATAAACCACTAAAATAATAAAGGAAAATGTTCAATTCTGAAACAACTTTGAATGTATAGATGACAAACAGATATGACACACTAATTGTTTAAATGTTAAGAAGCGTGCTTTTTGTTACGAAGCATGAAATAAAAATCAAGCCCGGGTTAGAGGATTAGTTCATGCAGAAACATCTAGTTGACGAATATCCTAGATGAGTTACAGCACTTACGAGTTTTTGCTGTCGTCAATAACAGCATTGGGGTCAGTCTTACGGATTTCACTTTCTCTTACAGACTCTGTCAGACTCTTGAACACGGTTGACCTAAAACTGAAAAAGTAGGAAACTTTTTAAATTCTACAATTATTATTGTAGAAAAGGAGTGTTAAGTTGAAAGGAGTGTTATGTTGTTGAGTAAGGTTAAGTATTAAAATCCAAAATGATATTTTGTCAATGGCACACCTAAATGTTACATTTAATGAAAATCTGTATCAAAAAGTAATTTCTACGCAAAACTTAATAAAAAATAACAAAATATTTTACTAGAGTTTATTAAAAGTTTGCAAACATTGCTAACATATTGAGAGAGTTACTGTGCAACAATTTTGAAGAATGTTTTTGGAATAGCAAGTTCATTTGCATGGGAAAGAGTCTGTCTTGGTACAAGAAACACTAAACGTATTTTAGTTTCTTGGGCAAGGATAGACACTCATTACTATTATAGTGCGTTCAAACAGCCGTGGCACCTGAGATTTTTCCTAACGGAAATTTTGAAATTTTGATTTTTCCTGACCTAATCCGTCAGGTGCCACGGCTGTCTGAACGGAGTATAAAGTTAGCCAGCTATTCCAACAACAATCTCTAAAACCTAAGCCCATAATACTAAGTCAACCTTAAGAATATGTGATTGATCTTGTTATATTGGTTCTTTCGATTATTTTGCTAGCCTTCAAACCTAGAGGTCGTTGATTTAATCCCAATTCTAGACCAAGATGCCATTTTTCATTGGGCTATCAATCAATAAGGCTATCTAATCTACTAAAGATGGACTTTAAATAGTAAAAAGGCCAGCTTAGACCAGTCCCTAACAGAAAAAGAGTGTCAATAGTGTAAACAAATAAACGGTATCAGCAATCTGACTCATCTCTTCTCGCATTGGCTTGTCAACAACCGTTTTCAAAGGCAAGCAATGGGAGTAACCATGATCATGATATATCATATATTTATAATATCATATATTTATCATATATTTATATATTTATGATATATTTTATTTTATGGGTAAAATAAAATCTCAAAAAGTGCAATAACTATTCAACTGTAATTTTTACAGAATTGGGGGTTGTACCATTTTCTTTACAGTAAAAAAAGGACCGTCAAAAATCAAAATAGTTTAACCCTTTGAGTGCCAACGTCCGGGGAACCGGACGTTTTTAAAACGAGCCAAAAGTGCCGACGTCCGGCCGACCGGACGTTTTTAGAACGAGCCAAAAGTGCCAACGTCCGGCTGACCGGACGTTTCGTAATGATCGAACAGTTATCATAACAACCGAATGGATACTCGGATTCTTTTAACCCATATATTAACATTGAGTCGAAAGTTACTAGATGCGATACATCAATTTTCGTTGGTCAAAATATCAAAAATTCGATTTTTACGAAATTTTAACCTAAAAATCGCCAGATTGCGCTCGGCATTTTTAGCGCGTCCTTCGGGAAAAATCATCGGCATTTTTTGAGCGTTACTTTTATTTCTCGCCTGGCACTCTAAGGGTTAAGCACTTTTAGTAAAAATTTTTCCATTATTTTATGGAAAAATCTCTATTAAAAATTACAGTTTAAAAACAAGGAAAATACTCTTGGAATAGTACCCACATACCAAAATTGGCCCATAGGTTTAGTCTGTAGCTCTGTACACATGCAAACACACACCTACAGACACCACTTGGAAAACCACTGTTTTACGTTCAGGAGGACCCAAAACTTAAGGTCGAAAATTTTGACAAAACCAATACTTTCCCTATATATTATATATGTTGTGTATTGGAAAAAAACTTTGGATTTCATTGATAGTTGAAAAACTATTTACAAAGTTTGGATTAGTTACAATTAATTTTACCTTAAGATAACTTATATTGGAGACATTGGCAATAAATAATGAATTCAACAAGGCCAATATATAATAATAATAATAAATAAAATTATTATATTATAATGCCTTGTTGATCTTGTAAATTTAATTACACATTTCATTACCTTAAGATACTAAACCTTAATCACTTTTGTTGGTTTTGTTTGGTGTTCCAAAGAGAGACAAAGGAGACAGGGTCAACACAAAAGGTATGGAGGCAGAGGTTGAAGAGGAATTTGGAGTTAGCTCAGGACGTTCTGACACACCAGGACTTGAGGCAGCCGTTGAAGAGGAATGTGGAGTTAGCTCAGGACGTTCTGACACAGCAGGACTTATGGTAGCGGTTGAAGAGGAAAATGGAGTTAGCTCAGCATGTTCTGACTTGCCAGAACTTGAGGCAGCAAGTTTGGTGGTGGGAGGGGTAGAAGAGTCAGGAAGAAGGGTAGGTGCAGAGGTGGAGACAACATCTTCTGAACCAAGCTTCTTCCACCAAACATTCAGATACACACCAGCAACTCTCTCACACTGACATATCAGACTGTGTCGAGTACAAACAAGCAGTTAGTGAACTAATAGCCATTGACTTTAGTATATTGAAGTAGACATTCCATAATGGACCAGCAGTAACCAATCTTTAGTTCAGGATAGAGCCACTCAGAGTGTGCTACAGTCAAATTCTATTTTTTCCCCACTGTTGAAGCCGAGTTTTGTAGGCCTACAATTTTTTGTTCCCTTTTTAATGTTTTGTGTGTTCTTTGTAAACCTTGATTTGTGTGACCTGATGATGAATGATTATATACTGTATCTACATTCTACAACATTGGAACACGTAGCTCATTTAACAAGCAGAGTAATTACTAGACACTACCAGGAACTTTTTTGAACTTTTTTTCATTTCTCAATGTTATTTGGAATAGGCAATAATCAAAACGGCATGTAATTAAACAAGATGTAAATTTTCAGTGATTGCCAAAGTGAACCGTAAAATATTTAAATTCTTCTCTCAATTTTTTATATGCACGTGTGTTTGTATGAAATGTATAAATGGTTGAATAAATTGCAATGCAACTGATTAGATCCTAAAAAGTCAGAAGCGTTTTGATGGTGCATTGGCAATACTTACGCAATAACACTGATATCTATTAAGACAACAGCCAGTGGAATGAGGATAAGGCCGAACCAGAACACAGGAGAGGTGAATATCATACGGTCCATACCAGCCATCACTTGGCCGAGAGGGATAGTCGGCCAGAATCGGCTAAAAACCAACACACAGATCAGTGAATCAGTGATCCGGTACACAGTTGCACAAACTCGGTATAGGATGGGGCCAAGTTCGCAGAACTTTGTTTAACTTTAATTTTATGAACTCCAAGCTAATCAGAAGCAACAGGGTCGATCTAGCTTTGGATGGTTTTAAACTGGACCCAGCTGTCCTTGACGATTGGACTATAAATAACCGTCCTGACAAATGGAAAAACTGATACCAGTTATTACTTTGCCACAAGTCAGTAGCAAAGCTACGCAAGATATTCCACTCCATTCTACACCAAAATAATTAATAAAACAAAAGACCTTTTAGTATTCAGAATTGTAGAATAAAGGAGATAGCTGCTAGTTTACCTGTGAAGAAAGAAGTAAAGGTATGTATCAAGTACCATGAAGGCAATAAAACACACAGAAGACACATGATATTATATCCAGTAAAGTGAAGAGACAACGCAAAATGTAGGGACCCTCTTTCTCTACACTTGAGTTGTAAGTTCCCCAGGGGATGAAATACCTTGTGTTCTAAGTGGCTTTTGTGTGTTTTATGTGGCTTTTGTGTGTTCTATGGTCTATCTGTACTTCTCCTAAGGTTAGCTAGCTGATATTCTCTTTATTCCCAAATCTGGTATTCAGGTTGAAATTGAAATCTCACATAAAGTATTTCACAGGGCTGATAATATTTTAGTTATCTGATTAAGAAAGAAGAAATACATACACATAGAAAACTAACTTTAGAATAGAGTTGAAATTATTAGATAGCAAATAAAACACTGTTTGCAGTGGTGAATTTTCAAGCTACTAACGAATCTATTTGATACAGCCAACTTTTGCATGCTTGTGAGTTACCTGTAAGCAATAATGAGCAAGAACCAAGCACCGATGGATCCCCAGATGGCCAGATGAGTTAGCCACGTCCAGTACTTCATGTGCAAACCTGCCTTGACACAAACAGCGACCACCACATACTGAAACCATACACATTGTACATTGCTTAAATGTATCCCATTATATTATGAGTTGTATCAACAATATAAGATGCTTATCAATTTGGATTATTGATAAAGTTTTTTTTTCAAGAGGTTAGTGGCTTTTTTACCTTGCATTTGCCTGTCCACAGAGGTAAAAACACAAATAACTGAAAGACTAGAGTGATTGGTCACGGACAGAATGAATGCGTGACCTGAGAGGAACTCTCTGGAAATAGAAGATTTGAAAGACAACAAAATAACTATGCTAATCAATAACACAACTAATATTACCGTATAAACCATGTTGCCGAGGACCAAGTAGCCGCCCTCTTTGCCGTTTTTCCAAATGATGTCGTTCTTGACTGCGTACATCGGCAGCCAAAACAGCAGAACTGAGTGAAACAGAGCGTTGACGATCCACACCCAGAACACTCCGACGTCAAAGTGGAACGATCGGTGAGCGTAGAGCTTGGGATACCTGAGCATGGTGTTGGCAGAACACAGCTGATCCAAGATACCCATGGCTAGTGGTGGAGCTGCGGTGAACAACTGGCAAAACAAGGTTATATAGTGAAGGATTTTTTATTTAGTGAAAATTTGCGTGGACTAGTGATGGTCGAACTTGATCGCAAATCCTGTTATTGAGTCCAAAATCTTAAACCCTGGAATAGATTTTATAAAATACAATTGTTTTTAGTTTTATTGACTTCTACTTTGCATCAATACTAAAGCATGACAAATTTGTAATCATCTGAAATCAAAGCAACATCTATGAGCATCTCTAGTAGACACAGTAAGATCATGATCATTTCCCACTTTAGCAATAATGTCCGAAAATAGGTGCAAGTCCAAGAAAGAAGTCAAGTCACTATGGTATGTTGCGATGTATCGTCACTCATTACTTTTACATCAAATGATTCAAAAAGCTAATAAACAAATTTGTCTGGTTACTGGACACCAGATAAAAGAAGCTTTTTTAAGCTACAATCAATTATAAACAGCCAAAAGGAAGCTTAGTAAGTTTATTATTGTTAAATATTTATTAGTTTTCTTTATTTCATTCATATTTAAATTATTGCAAATAAGTCAATCAAAATTCATTAACCAATGTTTATGTTTACAATTTATTATTATTAAAGCTTAAATTACAATTCATATCTATATAAATAAAATTAGAGTTTTGTCTGTACATTGCTCAGAATCATATACCTTATGAAGTTCTGTACCAGGGAAGCTCAAAACCTTATATTAGGACTGATGATGGCGATTTAATTTTGCCGAAATGCATCACCTGTAATAGGATACATTAGGATCGACCGGCGGACACAGGTAATTTAACCTTTTATTGATTGTCATACCGATCCGGAACAACAACAAACAACATAAAATGAGGTTATGTATAATAGTTTGGCCAGCATATCTGAAAATATGCAAACCAACTGCTGTTCTTTATACTGTATATAAGAAGGTTTCAACTGAATACTATAAGATCCCCGTGCGTAGAACGGGTCAGCTAGTCAATATTAAAATTATCATATGTTGTTACATCAAATTATATTATATTACATTGTATCTAAAAATAATAATTCATTATTAAAATTGGCAACACTGTTAGAATGCAAGCAGTTTAACTACTCTAAAAATGCTCAACAATTAAATCTTTTAAAAACAGCATCTGAGACTTTTGTGACTGTGATGAAGACAGAACGACCTGAATGAAGATGTATAAAAAGAGTGTAAGTATGAAAAAATAAATTCAAAAAAATTATTATTAAAGTTTTATCCAACTTCAAGAAGATATAAGTTATTTATTTAAGAAGATTTATTTAACCAAGAACAGTAAGTGATTCTTTTAATGTAAATAAAACGAAACTCTCCTATACAAAATACAGTCCACTTATTCAAAAAATTTTAAACTATTTTACCAATCTATTTGTGTGACGGCCCCAAAAATTCCCAGACCCATTGCATATCAGCTGGGGAGGTTTTTGCTACACCCTCAAGAAACCCTGTCAATACCGTCACAAAAGCTTTGCTTTATTTCAAATATAAAAGGAGGGTCTGTAATATTGGACTGTGTTAACCTCCCAACTTTTGCGTCAGCCAGTTGCCTCACCATGGAATATTCCGTCAGCCGTGGCTCAGCGCTAGGCCAGGCCAACGTTCTTGGAAGTGTAACGTGCGTGGCTGGAATTCGCTGAAACAGCTCAGCAGGTTGCTTGACGAAATCAATTAACGCGCAGCTACAGTTTGCCTAACGCCCTGAGGAATCGTTAGGCAGCAACACTGTCCAGTGTTTGCACTGATGTCACGCGGCATAGCCGCAACGTGATTGGCTGGTTCCCCTCCACGCCCAACTCTACGCTATGGACGGAGAGCACTCAGTTGAGTTAGTCTAAAATCTAAAAATTCTCTAAATTCAATTCGGTCGGTCATGTAAATTTCCAGGTCGCCTTTCCCCATAGCCTCCTCGGGAGGCTATGTTCCCCAATAACTTATTTTGGAATTGTATTCTCTCTTTCAACGTAAATAAATTATACAGCAAGTCGGAAGCTACATATTTGTTTTGTCATAAGTATAATAAATTATTTATTCGTAGCGCATTTCCGTTGTTTCATTCGGCTACCTGTCACATTTGATCCATTATCATTCTATAAACAATTATCAAAATTTCATGGCAATTATTTTTAACCCTCCGTAATGATATAGGTTTGTAAGTGTGTATTTTATTAATTTTCACCTTTTATCTTTGTAATATAACAAATTTGACTAAATATATAAGTTCCTTTAATACGTACCACGTTGTAAAGACCAATCGTCCATCTTTCAAAGAGGATCTGTCCCGACCATCCGGAGTAGATGGCGAACCACAGCTCCATCACATAGAGACAGATATTCTTGTAGAAGCTGTACAATATGAGCTCACAGAGCCGATGGTAGTTCCACGATCCATGGACGAATAGAAGCTTTAGTAGGAAGCGGAACTGTAACAGAGACGCAATTATCACTGCTCGATTTGACTTACCGGTATTCATTTACGTATCACTAACATGAAAAGTGATTTCCGAAGATGAATTGAAATAGACTTCAAATAGTATACACTCTACACACTTTCTAATGGGTTGCCTTTAGGGTACTTAAGGAAACGTTTTTTTAACTTTTTGTCTCTTTATTTATAATTTCATAAGCTGCCTCTAGACCTGTTAATTAAAAAGTTTTTCTTTGAACTTTGAACCTTTACTAAATTTTACAGTTGATCAATGTCAGAACACAAAACGACAAACTTTATAAATGACTAAGACAACATGGTCATCAGAGAATAAAAAAATTATAAAGAGGGCAATAAGGAACCCTAGTCCCTGAATGAATTGACTATGGTAAATATAAGATAACATATTTATTTATTGTTATGTACACGGTGTTTTTTGTCCTAGGACGCTAAGGTACTAGCCCAGGATGGTTTTTCACATTACTGTACTTCAGGCTAGACCTAGGGGTTGTGGCATTGTCGCCTAGAAAAAGCCATTTGTGATTTGATGGAATTTGAACCTGGTACCTAAGGGACAGAAGTCCCGCGCTCAACAACTAGACTAGCCTCCCTTGAATGTATGTGAGTGTGTACTTACAGGGGTTATGTATAAACTATAATATTTTGGTACTTACGTATTATACGGAGGCCACTTATTTTACAGCGCGCTGCGGCGGTTAGGTTAGGTTGGGTTATCATAAGTTTTTATGACTCATCTCGTATAGTTCGATTCATAACGAAACTAGGAAAGTTCTACAAACATATTTATGATAACCCAACTTAACCCAACCGCCGCAGCGCGCTGTAAAATAAGTGGCCTCCGTATAATACGTAAGTACCAATATTTTATCTACAATCTCACTTGTGCTATGGAGTAGTCGCTGGCACACGCTGCCTGTAGTCCCTCCACCCCGGAGATGCCAATACCAACATGCGCCTTCTGTATCATGGCTACATCATTGGCTCCATCTCCAATAGCCAGAGTCACACTGTCAGTGTTAGAGGTGACCAGGTCTACCACCTGCACAACAACAAATTGTTATCTACAAACATTTTACTACACAACAGTTGGTATTATACTTCCTGAAGTGGTTACACCTACCCAAATAGGTACTAGGTTGATCAAGACAGCCCCTCCAGTAGGTTCGGTTCCTAGTATCACCCTATTTACGATCCATTTTCTGCAGCACACTGTTCAGCGACAGGTTGTCTGAGGGTGGTGGGGATAGGCTCGTTGAAAAGCCTACTTGATGCCATTATCTGTAGTCCTAGAGTAGTGGTCACCTGAGCAACGCACGTTTGTTATAGAGTCGTTTAAAAAAAGTAATGATTCAGTCATTGCAACTCAGCGGCATTTCCATGCATTCTTTAAATTAGGTAGACATGGAGAGGTTCCGTTGTGATTATCTGTATAATCAACAAAACGTAAACTCAGCAGCACTCAACGTTCTCCAAATTAATTAAGTTAATTAGTTTAGTTAATTTGGTTAAGAATTTAGATCAAACCTCAAAATTTGTCTAACTGAGCGGTCAGACATGTTCAAAGCAGATGCTTGTTTCACGCGGGCCTACAAGGACTGTTTTCTACAGCAGCACCAGCTCTTTCGAAAATTAGTTGTCTGGCGTCCGATCTTCTTTGGAAGACTTGTCAGCTTCTTTTTGAATGCAGAAGCCATAGTTCTAAAGTTGGTAACCCACCTCATGATTGTGCTATTTGACAGAATCCACATCACTTTAATTAAAAGAATACACAGAACTGCCACTGAGTTGCAATGACTGAATCAATACTTTATAATTTGATTCGATAACAAACTCAAGTTGTCAGGTGACCACTACTCTATGACCACGGATAATGGCATAGTGTAGGCTATCCAACGAGCTTAACTCCACCACTCTCAGACGACCTGTCGCTGCATAAAATAGATAGTTTTTTACCGCACCCTGTATAATCTCTTCCAACCTGGTCACACCATCTTGCTTTGGGCCTTACAGCAGGTCTTTTGCCTTTAGGAACATATAAAATATGATTTATACCAAGTTCTCTTCATTGCTCAAAATGTCTCCAGTTAGAAGTTACCTCCGGATTTAATTAGCCTTACAAAATCAAAATTGTATAATCTCGGTGAAATGTGTTTGATCTTCTAGACTCAATTTTCTTGTTGGAACAAAGATTTTTTTCAGACCTTGTTTTCAAAAACCATAACATTTCTAGAATTTTTGTTAATGATCCAGGTTCTGAACCATAAAGCAGTATGAGCCTCATAATTGTTTAGTTGAGTCTTGATTTCAAAGCAGCATATTGTTGTTGCAAAGGCTGTTAGAATGACAAATGACACAGTTCGTTTGGGCAGGGAATACACAGATTTTGTTCAAATTTGTGGCAAAATAAGAAAACTGACCTCCGCCTTCTGCATGGGTGAGACGCGACAGCATATCACAGACTTGCAGCTGATGCAGAGTTGTAGGAACTCTCGCCTCAGCTCGTGTGTGAGGGCGAACTTGAGTGATGCTCCGTCGACGACCAGACACAGGTTGTTGTTGGTTTTGCCCAGCGCCTCGCCCAGCTCTGAGCAGTGCCTGTGTATTACCTCCCGCAGACCCTGCGATCAAACACAGCATGTAGATTGTGTGTGACGCAACTGTAGGGTTAGTAAATACATTTCAATTTCATTTAATAGTATGTGTAGGCAAGTGGTTATAGTAATAATAAAATACTTACATCAAGACTAGTCTCGTTGAGTATGATAAGCGGAGTGCCGTGGCTGATGAGTTTGCTGGAGTAGCCGATATTGATGGCTGTCTCCTGCTTGTCCCCCGTCAACACCCAAACGTTGATGTCTGCCTTCATGAGAGCAGCAATGGTTTCTGGCACCTACACAAACAAAATAGACTTTGTAAAACCATATACAAGAACTACAAAACTAGATTTTAAATTATTGTTCCCTAAATGGACCACAAGTTCGAGCTCAGGGAAAGAGCTCTTATCTGTGTAAAAGAATAGTTTTGTAAACATTTTTTACTAATTTACTAAAACTTGTATTACTTTACTATAGTTTTAAATACCCACCATTCACAATCTAGGATGCTAGGCTCTTACCCAGAACTGTTATTACATTAATTCAGGCTAAGCCAAAAGTAAATTGAAGCATACCTAACCTAACCGTTATTTTATTTTATTTTGTATTTTCTTCTATGTTCTGTAGTGAATGACGTGGGATACCTACATTTCTTTAGGTAAGCCTGCTTATCCTATCCTTCCTCACACCTAACCCAATCCTTCAATATACTTTCTGAAGAAGTTCTATAATAGGACAAAATATCAATGTTATGTTTGTACTGGGTCTCTACTAGTCCATAGACTCTAATTTTCTCAGAAAATTCAACTGAGTTGTATAACTTTTCAAAATAATTTGTAATGTGAGTATGTAATTTGTCTGAAAATAGGTGTTTCTTGGCATAAGTTGTGTTTTAGCAAATTCCCTGTAGGGAAGAAGCTATTATCATAGGCGGTTTGAAAAACCTGGGAAGGATTTATTTTTTATTTCGATGTCCTGAGACGCCAAAAACACTATTCGTGTGTATCTCCGTAAACACAATTACTCAAGTAATTTTGGTCGATTTTGATTAAATTTGGCATGATCTGGATGAACTTACTTGAATTCGCAAACCAGAAAGATCAGGTAATAAAAACAGACTTATAGAGATTTAAACTTTTTCAAAATTAGTTTTTTTCCAATTTTTACCTTTGAAACCTGTAAATGACTAACTTTTATTATCACTACCATGTAGAGCTTAAAAAATAAACAGTTTTGTATACTGAAGCTTTGTTGTACAATTAGACCTATAGGATTCAAATGACATAAAAATTCTGTACATTTAAAATTCCCATGTCATTTTTATGGAGAAAAAGGAAACTGTTGTAGTTTACTTATATTTTGATCGAATATGGCAAATCTATTTCTTTCATCCTATAGGCCTACTATTAACATTTGATCAAAACAACCTTTCCCTACTTGTTAAATCTAATGCTATTTCAATAAATATGACTTTTTTTTAATTTGAGTAAAAATCCAATCAGAAAAATTTAAATTCACTTGGTCTTTAGGTTTGCTGCAGCAGGGGTATTTATTACAAAAAATAATAAGAAGTAATTTGCTTGACACTTGTACCTGCTCTTGCAGCTTGTCCTCCACAGCTGTAGCTCCCAACAATATCAGGTCCTTCTCTATCATGTTGGCCGCGTCCTCTATCTTTGTCTCTCTGTTCTGTATCGACGTGCAGGCCTTCATGTACAACTCCCTCCATTCCTGGAAAAATTACCATTATGGGAGAATGTGTAACATACAACAAAAAGGCTTAGGTTCTAAGAGTTGGGATTGTTGTTGGGATATATTGACTGCTGAGTGGCAAACAGTACAATTCAGGCATAAACACTGGAAAACGTTTCACTATTCGTGATAATTAGAGTATTTCACCATGCAGTTTCAGTCAAGAGAGGTTTTAGAAAGAATAATATTTTCAGGCTTTTAATATCTAGCAATTAATTGTGTAGTGTGGTTGAACAATAGTAGGTAAATCAAATAGGCCCTACCAAATTTCTTGTTTATTTCATGCACATTAGTACACTTAAATAATTATAAAAGAACAATAATTACTGTAAAAATAGTTATAATAAACATATAATTAATTTTTAAACCAATAAGAAATATGCTAGGGAAATACAAGAATGCGCTGGGGGAATATTTAGGCTTACACACTCATTGAGTTCAAGTCTCAAATTGTAAATGTTGACTTTTAATGCATTTTTCATAAGTCAGTGGGTAAAATGCATATACTTTTCTTTATTCTAAGGGTTTTATAGCTATTAACAAGTACAGTAGAGTCCTGTTAGTCCGAAATGGTTGGGACCGGGCCCATTTCGGATTACCAAATATTTCGGATTAAACGTTTTTTTTTGTTTTTTTTTATATTTTTTATATTTTTTGAATTTTTTTTTGTCTTAGGACGCAGCTCGGTATTGTTTTTTACATTACTTAAGGCTAGACCTAGTGACTGCAGCATTATCACTTCATAAAATCCATTTGTGATTTAGCGGACGAAAATGAAAAATGTTAATAACAAAAATGGTGAAATATTTACTAAAATACTCTACAAAAAAAGTCTATCTCGTCCGGCCGCTACAGAATACTTTGGCGAGGTACAGCTAACTGTGTTAAGAGTTTAATAAAAACATATATTTTATAAACTGGGACGGGTGGCGTCGTCCTGTAATCAAGCTACTAGGAGGTTACGAATTGTGGATATTTATAGGCATTCACTGTGGATGCGATACTTTATCAGACTTAATTTTTTATGGTAAATATATTTATAAGTTTCTTTTCCTAATAATGTAGGATTTTTTGGTATATTTTAATTTAAAATAAGAAAACATAAATTAAACATAGGGACTTCTGAGATTCTCTACCCTGCTTTAGTGACTTTTCTGTGATGCATCACCAGGAGATACCCTGTAAACCTTTGCACAACTGACCTTGTACGACCTCTCTGACAGGTCAACAGAGGCGAAGCACAACGTTCGCAGACCAGACTGCGCAAACTCCTCCAGATGTTTGAGAGTCGTGTCCGCAAACGCTCGACCATTCGCAGACAGTCTTTCATATATCACAGTGTCTGCGCCCTACAATACATATTGTTGAGCAATAATGGTTTTGAACACTTAGAATTTTATTGCTTTAAATGTAACATCCTTTTTTGAACATGAACATTTTCAGAGTAATCTATTGAAAAACAAGGGTTGGAAACACGAAAAAAATAAAATGAAAAGTGTAGGCTAACTCTTTTTTCTGTATTTACTCAATGTTTGAAGTCTGCTTGAGAATTTCTTGCCTAGCATATTTGTAAATAAAATAATGAATGTTCAAAACCCAGTTTTGCGCAATGTAGAAGATATTTCCTCTGAAGTTCTACTACATATGACATCTCTCAAATACCAATCAGCGAGAGATGATTTTCCCTGAAAAGTTAAACTGAAATTCTAACGTTAAACAACAATAGTAGCAAAGTTAATATTAAGAAACTAAGGGGTACAATGCATTTCTATAATCAATGGTAGTGTAGGAATCAGAAATCAGAAATCCTTTATTGTCCTTAAGCAAAACAATCTTGCAATAGACATAGTCACATATTATGGTAAAATAGGGTTACACAGTAACCCAGTCAGACTAGATTAATAAGCTAATATCACAGGCAATAACAGGTAAAAATTTAAAAGTTTAAGTTTAAGTTAACTGAATATAGAGTTTATTTGAAAAACAGTCTTCTTCTCTTGCATTATCCTCTTCTGTTGCAAAGTTACAAGTTCTAACTTCAAACAAGCATAAGAACTCACCTTGCAAAACAGTTTGATCTTCCCCTCTGGTGTTCGAACTATGACTGACATTCTTTTCCTCGCACTTGTAAACTCAATGACGCTTAGTATTTCATACTTCTCCCTGCTGCCCAGCGCGACTATTTCCACAGAATCAGGCGTTCTTGTGTCGAACACAAAGCCAAAAGCTTTTGCTCCCTGAAGTAGAGCCCTTTCATCTGGAAAAATATGAAAAAAGTTAAGTTTGAAGAATAAAACAACAAAACAGGGGAAAAAGCAAATATTTTTTTTAATTTTAAAGGAAAGCCAAGAAAACCAAGAGCAAGAGGAAAGAGGTTTTATCCAATACGGATAAGGAATAGAGTTCAGCTAGCTGACCTAAGAATGTATAAATTCCAGGGAAGGTCACATGCCACTGATATTTCCCTCTAATATTGGTCTTCTTCCGAGGGAAGATTGAAAAGAAATGTCACTTAAAGTTCAAAACTGAAGTAATCTTCAGTGTTGCCAACCCTGTAATTTTCCCCAATGTGAAATTTCACCTCAATTTACTCTGTGAATACGTCTTCAATATAATCTCTAACCTAAACAAGTGCTATATTGGGACAAAATATAATGTTAATTGTGTTGAGGTAACCTTCTTTGTGTATATTTTAGCCCATGGACACCATTTGGTTATTGAGTTAATCTTCTTAAGTAAACTAGCTTTATTGAAATTAACATTTTGTAAGTGATTAAAAATACTTTTGACAATACAAGCATCTTTCTAGTGTACAAGATGGAAATAGATACCATTATCCAAAATTTTGTTAAGCACACCTCAGTTTTAGAAGGCCTAATCATTGATGGAAAATGACCGTGGTAAAATAAATCTCAATCATCAGCGATTTATATGGGAAAGAATTTCTTCTAGAAAGTGTTTACACAGTAGGAGTTTCTTACCAGGAGACGAGGCATGATAGATGATGTCATTGTTGTCTGGTTGTTTCTCCGGAATGACAGTGTGACAAACGGACATCAACACCATGAAGTCTCGGATGGTCTGTGACAGCTTGTCATTTCGCTTTAAGTGCTGTCAACAAACATGACAGATAAGTCATAACACTGTTAATTATTACAGCCTGCAAAGGACACAACTTTATGTTTTCTATAGAAGAAGAAACTATGGGAATTTCCATCTAATATTTATTTTTACCTGTAAAGGCTGGTCTACAGGCAAGGATTTCTTGTACGATTTACCTGCACAGGTAAAAAAATTTCAGTCATGTCGTTGCGTGTTGACAGCAAATCTGTGCATTTTTTAGAACTGCGTGGAGAGGGATGACGGAGAGATAAAACTATTGAGGAGAGCATAGTTTTGACAACATTTTCAGACAAGACGTTGCGTGTGTGCACTGTCATCCGTTTCAACTCTGTCTTCACGATTAACTCTCCAGTCTAGAGTGTTGTCTTCACATGCTGTCAGAGGGATAAGTGTTTTTTTTTACGATGACAGATTTTCGCCATTGTTTCTGTGAGTTTATTGTCGAATTCATCGAACCTGACAGAAGTCAAGAGTAAGGAACATAGGGACCGTGATAAGAAGAATCAGACTTAGAGTCTTGTTGAAAAATACAAAGCAGTAGATTCAAACGTGATCAGAGAAAAGATTATGAAAATGTTTGTCTTTTTAGTAACCAACGTCTTGACCATAGTTAGCGTCGTCGGCACTCAGACTTATTTCTTTCCTTTCTTGCAACACAGACTGCAAAAATTGACCACAATAACACATTTTCCATGATAAAACGTGCACATACACTGTAAGTTATCACAAAACTACAAAATATTGTTGCTGAAACCTGTACCGTGTGGACGCATTTCTTTGCTACGACTTGACTGCAATGTTTTACCTGCACAGATAAAACGTATGTGAAATCCTTGTGTGTAGACTGGCCTTCTTTCAGCAATGCACCTGAAATACTCCTAACAGCTAAAATGCTTAATTTTATTAACTGTATAGATATAGTGGTTATTGTTTTCACCTTATAATCAAAAGATTGCCAGTTCGATCCTATAAAAGTAGTTTTTAGATGGAATGAAACTGTACCCAGATGTTCATTGGTCTTTTCCTTTTCTTAATGTTTTTGGCTATAAAACCAGCTGGTCTTAGTCAGTAACAAAGCTATCATTTACCCATTCAACTCTTATTATCTTATCATTTTCACCTTAAATTATACACATTGTATGGATCTAATGTGACAAGGGGAACAAGTTGGTCTAGTAGTAGAGCGCATGGTTTGTTTTTCAGAGGTGTTGCGTTCAAATCCCACCAATCACTATTTGGATTTTATCAAAATATGTAATGCCAAATTGATATGTGACTCTCTAGGCCTACTCTGAAGTAACGGGAAAACGGTTCTTGGTTAAATTTTAGCCTAAGGTGCGAATATGGGACACAAAAAAGTATATGGTACATTAAGAACTAATGGGAACATATTGCTACATATTTTTGACTAGACTTTTGAGTTTTTTTTTCTGAATAACATTTTTGAATTGTAGAAGTGCAAGAACCAGTTACTGATAACATGCACTCTGCTGAAAAAAAAATAGTCTTGGCCATATAAACAGTGGCCTTCCACAATAACAAAGCATCTCACTCCACTGTCCTCATCCTACACTCAGATGTGTCAATCTTAATAGTGTTAGCTACAGCAAACCTACTCACTTGTATGAGCAAGGAGTCGTCCAAGTCTGCAGTGGCTGGTAGACTGTAAAGATGTTCTCCGATGCTGCATTCTTTGAATTCCATCACGTTCCTGGTCAGAGTACCAGTCTTGTCAGAGAATATATACTTAACCTGCAATACACAACGTGATGTTTATGCTTGAAGAAATGAATGTTTTAGACAAAACGCTTATTTATAGAGTTGTAGTGCAGTACACGGTTAGAGTGTAAGAACAAGAAAGAAGTATAATACTGAAACGAAAATTCAACAATGTTTAACTAATGTTTAACAATGTTAGTGAGTTGGTGGCTCAGTCGTTGGTGCCACAGACTTTGGGACTAAGGCAGCAATGTCATGGGTTCGGATAATCCATTTCGTTCACTCTAAATTCAAATTTAGAGAGTAATTTAGTGAGTCGGTGGCTCAGTCGGTAGCGTCGCAAACTTCGGGCCCAAGGCAGCGATGTCGTGGGTTCGGATCCTGGTCACTGCCGATAACATTTTATCAGTACAGTTCACCTTTGTACTGTACCGGCTCACTCCTTGCTTTGCTGCAAACGATCCACGCACGGGCGCTTAGTCTATGTGGACGGGCAAATGCAAGGTTAAAAGAGGCCGCCAACCTCTTAAAAAAAAAAAAAAATAAAAAATAAAATAAAATAATGGTACCTAAAACTACTTTTTATCAGTGCAGTACCCTTATACTGTACCGGCTCACCCCTTGCTTTGCTGGATACATTCAACGTACAGGCCTCTGTGGGCCATGTGGACAGATAAATGCAAGGTAAAAGAGGCCGCCAACCTGTTTTTGTAAAACAAAAATAAGAATTTTATGTACCTACAAAAAATTCATGAGGTTTACCATAGGTGTCAATGGGCTTTAACAATACAGTGACGAGTTATGAGAAAATATTACCAGCAGTTCAATCATGAAAAGGGTAGGGGTTGTCTCCATGACTAAATTAGATAATTAATTCATTTTGCTATAACATGATTAAAATATCTGTAGTATCACATACCATGCCAAGTTCCTCATTGAGGTTGGAGGTTCGAGCCATCGCAGGAGTGTCAGACTCCTCGTGGTACATATCCAGGTCCATGTTGATGAAGGTTGCCTGTGAACAAACCATAGATGAAGACCAAACTACCAACAGGTGCAATACAAATTATTGTCGTGTGTTAAAAATAAAAGTGTGCAATAAAAGTTATGTTTCTATTAATAGCAGTTTTGCTGATTGCACATAGAACTTGTCGGTTAGGACGCTGGTTAGTTTCTGTCTTAGTAGTTTTTTGAAGATTTTAACCTGAATTAAAATTAAATAAACACTCCAAATACAGTACATCATTTTTGTTTGTTACCTTCACTTGCCTGATAACCAAACTAATCAAAACTGACTTTAAAATAGCAGTCAATCAAGCAAGCAACACAATACACCAGTAATTTTATGTAAGATTACATTTTATGTGGTACAAGAAATGAATCCAGCAATGTCAACCAGTTTAGTTAGATATTAAAAAGCAGCACCAAAACAAAGTTAACAAAATTTAAACTGCCGAGAGCCTTAGGCCTACCACTTATATAAGTATAATCTTAATTATTAAAAACAAACTTTCAACCATCTATGTGACACATTTTATCATTATAACAGTGTGAATAAAACATACCGATACCCTCAATATACTTAATTAAAGTTAGACAAGTTTAATTAGTTTAATTAAGTTTGAGATCTGGATTACCATAAAAAGACAAAAGATATATTTTATATACATTATTAGCATTTTGATCATATTTTTATTAATTATCTACATTTTAATCTTAAGCTTTGTATCTTGAACTTCTTCGATAATTGCTTTGGACTATCATTAGATTTGTAATTTATCTGGATTAATTATTATAGATTTACATTCGTAAGCTTTTCATTTACTTCAGGCAGACATTTATATTTTAAAACGTCATAAGTATTATACCTTCCGCAAAGATTCGTGGCGGCTGAAGGATTAGGACGGTCGGGTGGTGACCCAGCCCCTAAATTAGCCCTCACTCGGCTGCTCTGGGGTTTGACAATGAGTCACCCACTGGGCTCAATGCATAGTTGGTAAAATGTTTGTATATCACCATAATGCGTATTAAATAACGACATTTTTGTAACCTGCATCAAATAACAAGAACATTGAGCCCAAACACGAAATAATTGCGATGATTTTAAGCATACCACGACACGAAAACTGTCTATTATTTTAAAACCAAATGTATACGTTTCATACCAACTTATGTTTGTAAATTTTGGACAATTTTGTTTTCAAACTGTTAGGCCTACATTTCAGTAGACTCCTTCTCCTTCATATTTCGGTTGTCTCAGAAGGTCACCTGAGTTTAATTTTTAGTCTCCTATGTTTGTAGCTAAATAAACAAACAATCAATATCTCTTAATTTAAACTATTCAGTAAGGAGGGAATCTATTCTAACGAATCAAACTACGATTATAGTGCTGACAGAGACAAACTGGTTTTATAGATCTTAGACAGCCAATAGCAAATATATCAATAGCCTAAGGTGGATAGTAGTGAGGTAGCTTAAGATATTTTTAATTATAAGTAATTTTATTAGTTCTCTACAAAGTCAAGAAATAAAAAAACACTCCTATACCAATAACAAAAACAAATTAATGTAAAGCGGACAAAAGACTAAAGACAGGTGCAATGCCACATGAGGTGCTGGACAAAGACGTTATTTCACTGATTGCTACTTTACCTGTACAAACCTGACAACTTCCAGTGTCACTTGTAGCGAGATCGGTATCAGGTTGTTGTAGAGAATAATGAAAGTCAGCAGGTTGTAGCCGAAATTCACAGAGACAACATCTGAAATTCAATCGCCAATGATAGGTCATATTGTATATTGTGTACTTGGAAGAGTGAATATTTTAAATAAATTACTACACTTTTGTTTTTTAACTTGTTCTATTGGATTTGTGTTCATAAAATCAGAAAATAATAATTTTAAAATATAGGCCTACATAATTTTATTGCTGAACAATCTCTTAAGTTGTAAGGGCTAGATAAAAAACAATCTGTAGGCTACCTTGAAATTAACGGCATTTTGTAATAAAGCCATATTTGTTGTAAGTATGATATATGATGAATATTTACCATATATGATTTATGTAGGCTACAAATTAAATTTTAAGACAATCTGTTTGGAACCTCTAAGGTTAAAATCGGCTTAACAATTATTAATTAAAGAAGATAAATGCAAAAAAATCCAGAAATGAGCGCAAGGGGCAGCACAGGCGGGCAATCATTAGTTTTACCATCATTTACCACTTGAATTACTAATTGCTTTACAGTCTAATCATCAGATCTTTCATCTAAATGGTATGGAGCTACAAAACCTGGTGGGAACTTAGTAAAGATGCACTCAAGTGCACTCAAATTATAGCAATATCAATTACGTCCAGTAAAACTTGAAAGACAAACTTTTTAAATATTTTTTTTTGAAATAGGCCTACACACTAACCTGCGAGTCCAATGTATGTGTGCTCTGTATGACTACGATTCCAAAGCTCATTGAAAATTGCCGACAACAGACACAACACGATGAGCAGGATAAACAGCATCAGCACCTGCAATGCAAACCAAAAAGTACAGTGAAAAATAATTAATTTAGACTTAGAGTTCAATCTAGAGTAGTAATGGAATTTAAAAAAAATGTTGTTCAATTCACTCTCTGATAAGCAAGTACGACTAAAAAAAATACTGTTTTCCTTTCTTAACTTAGAGCATAGGTACACTTCCAACAATGCACTCCATGCTATGATAAACAAGCAGCCAGTTTCATGATAGAAAAGGACTTGGTTCTGGTTGCTGGACTTGACTGTATTGTTAAAACTTGTTACAATTTACAAACTTTTTTGTTTGAATTAAAATGTTATAAACCTTTCCCTTCAATGTTACTTGATGAAAAACGACCTATATAGCATATTTTTTTTTTTTTTTTTTTTTTTTTTTTTTTTTTTTTTTTTTTTTTTTTTTTTTTTTTTTTTTTTTTTTTTGGATTCAAGATGGCTGCTAGTACAAACAATTCAGTAGTTTGCTCTTCATTTGGACTAGTTTTATAAAGTTTCATTAGTATTTTGTGATTTCTGAGTGTTACTAACTTAACCTACAAGTTACAGTGAGTCATATAACAGCTAGAACTCTATCTTTTCACATTCATACTTACAATCCATCCAGTTTTAGTTTTATTGTGCTTGGATTTGGGGCTGTCTAAGTTTGCCTTCAAATTTAATCATTTCATGTTGGAACATTATATTAACCGCCAATTTCACATTTGACATTTCATAACCTCAAAATACACTACTGCTGTCAGTGCTGTCTGCAGAATCACATTTCTCAACTGTCAGTTTTTTTTTTTTTTTCTCTCCAAGCTAGACTGATAACTCACTCAGCCTAAAGTGTAGTCTCAGTCTGGTCCTCAACCAATAGACCTTCAACCAAGAGTTGGCTTACAACCTCCTGCTTGTGCAGTCGGCTCTAAACATAATAGACCTCAATCCTCAACCAAGAGTTGGCTTACGACCTTTTACTTGTGTAGTCAGTTCTCAACATAACAGACCTCTGGTTATAACAGACAACTGGTTAATTGATATTAGGTGATATCAATACTACCAAGATATGCATGAAGCTTATCTGTGCAGTGAGAAACTAACCAAAATTTTATCTTAAAAATATCACAATTATCTTCAGCTCAAGTATTCAGAATGTTCTCTCCCACTAATACAAAGGAATTTAAGGCTGGAAACTTTGTATTTGCTAAGGTTAAAGGATTTCCTTTCTGGCCGGCTAAAATATTAAATGTTGACAATACCTCCTTTAAAACAATTGTTAAATATGAAGTTTTGTTTTTTGGTTCAAATGAAACTACTTTTGTAAATAAAAATGATTTACTTCATTACTATGAAAATAAGTTCAGATACCCTCTTGAATCTGTGGCACAGAAACATAAAAATAATTATAGTGTCGCACTTAAAGAGATTGCCAAAGCATGGGAAGCGGAGAACAAGACAAATAATGGTTCCCCATCGACCCCATCCATGAAATCAGCGAAAACTCCAAGCCAAAGATTGCATCATAACTCAGCTAGTAGAAGTGACAGAAATCAGAAAGTAGAGGTACACACTTTGTCCAGTAAAATCGATACTGTAAATGTGGAAGAAGTGTCAGTGAATCCTCCAACAGATAAAAGTGATGTACAAAAATTAAGTGTACTTACTGAAAAATGTATAACACTGGAAAAGGCGCTGATTGAAGAAAGAAAACACAAAACAGATGACTTTCATACTCAAATATTAAAACAAGAGCTAAATAAATTAAAGGAAGAACTTAAAAGCCTTCAGAGGATTATTGATATCCTTCAAGAAGAAAAAAATGAACTTACAACTCAAATAGGCAAAATGACTCAACAAACTCCGAGTAATCTAAACAACAGCTTGAACACCTGCAAAATTACTCAAGAATCTCAAACATGCGTCACTACCACCAAAAGTAACTCCTGGATAACAATTTCTCAAAAAGGAAAACTGAATAAGGCAAAAGAAAGCAATCAAATAACAGAAGTAACTTTGCAGAATAGTTTTGAAGCTTTGACGTCTACGGATTCTGAAACATACCAATTGGACTCGACTGGTATCCCAACAGAGAAATCCACAAATAAGCCGAATCCCTCACAGCCAAGTAAGAAGAAATGCATAACGACAAAGGGTCAGGCTAAGAAAATCAAGGCGGCAAACCAAACCTCTCGCCTGGCAATAATTTCTGATAGCCAGGGCCGAGGTCTAGTGCACTGTATTGACTTGGTGGCTCAGGGAAAATTTGATACCTTTGGCTGTACAATGCCAGGAGCTCATTTGGAGGATGTCCTGAGCTCTTCCCTGAATGCAGACATCCTGAAAAACTATAAGGAGACTGACTGGATACTTCTGATGGCAGGCTGTAATAATGTGAAGGCGCATCATTCTATTGATGATAAGGCTGCTATATCAAACAAAATCATTAACTGTTTAACAAGTCTGATAGAAAAATGTAAAAATACTAATCTGATTTTAACCACCCTACCATATCGGTATGATCTTCACAATAGCCACTACCACCACCAGATCATTGCGGAAATTAATAACAATATCAGGGCTTTAGTCTACAAGAACAAAGATGTCAACCTGCTAGATCTATATCTATTGGAAAAGTTCAATCACACTCGACATGGCTACCATATAAACAAAAATGGGAAAAGAAAAGTGGCAAACATGATACTGGATATAATTCAAACCAAATGTCAGGCTACCCAAACAGAAAATGACCCAACAGCCATCAAACATATCACCCAAACAGTAAATCTTGGGTGTGGAAAAAATATCACGATTACTCAACAAGACATGACCAGGGTCATCAACGACCATTGTAACAACAAAGAGGTCGCATTCTCTCACACAATATCTGGTGACTTTGGGAACGATAGGCATATGACAGCTGGGGTAGCTGTTACATTCGCACGGGAATTTGGCAAACCCACTCTATGGAACTGTGTGTCTGACCATCTGGCATACCAGCAGGTCAAAGATGGAGCTGGAGTATACAGCTTGATAACAAAGCTGGATTACTGGGGTAAGCCCAACCTAAATGATTATGACAAGGCTTTTGGACAGTTCTGCAATGATTTTAAAAGAAAGGGCTACAAATATCTCTACTGCTCTCCCATGGGGTGTATAAGAGATAGAGTAAAAGTAGAACATTTTATAAAAAATGTCATCAAATTCCAAGTGGAGACTAAGGCCCAGATTAAAATTGTTGCATACAACCAAAGATCAGCACGTGTTTTGCGGAACGGCCTGGATCACAACACCTTCATAAAGGAAATGGAGAGGTGCTTGGAGACCTTTTCTTATCTCCAGAGGGAAGAAGATCCACTAACACCAATAGCACCAGGAGAACAAACTTATGCAGATGTTGTTAGCCGCTCTTCACCAGTGAGTCCACATCACCCACCGCTGATTAATCCAGTGAGCAGAGAGCAGATGCCGACATCAGACGTCCCTCTTCGCCTCTCTATGAGTACCACCACTGACCACGGGAGCCTTCACCTACCAGTTACTCCGGAGTCTGACCGGTCATTTGGTGTCATTAGTGGTGAAAAAAGTCAATCTAGTGTGATAGTGAGTGGCAATGAAGATGATCGGGCAACCAAGGGTAAAGATAGTAGCTTAAGTCATAGTTTTTTAGAAAAACGGTCTCAAGTCAATATCATAGTGTAGCTTCTGGGCAATTGTATACTCCTACTCGATTAAATCTTCTTCAGGTAAATATTCAATGTTTGAGAAATAAGTTACTTGAACTTGAAAGCTTCTGTGAGGAAAATAAAATAGACATAATATGTCTCTCAGAACATTGGCTTACTTCTGAGGAATTACAGGTTTTTACACCACATGGTTACGTTCCCGGTAGTTTTTTTATTAGAAAGAATTTCAAAAACGGAGGTGCAGGAATTTTTGTTAGAGAGGGGATTGAATTCTGTAAATTTGATATGAGTAAATTTAGTTCAGAAATAGACATAGAAATTAGCTGTGTTAAAATAATTAAAGACAATTTGTATGTTATATCATTGTACAGGTCACCTCGTGGCAACATAGATATATTTTTTGAGAAACTTGAATTAGCCGTGAAGAAGGTTTTATCGAGGGGGACCAAAGTTATCGTCTGCGGAGATTTTAACATAGAAATGATAACAACTGATAACAACAACTCAATTTTGTTTTTGAACTTATTAAGATCAATTAATTTATACTGTACTTATTCCTCACCCACTAGAAACAATGCCTGTTTGGACAACATTTTAGTTAACTTCTCCCAAGATCTGTATGAAGTTACCTCAGCTGAGGGTCACTTTGCGGACCATACTCCACTCCTTTTCACTTTAAAATCTAATATTTCATATACCAATAAAAACTGTAAAACATCACAACAAACTTCTTATTACCGATCACAGAATAACAATGTTATCCAGCTATTTACCAATGAATTAATAAAAGAGAAGTGGAGTATGGTCGAAGAGCACAAAAACGGCAAGATAAATGTTAATACACTGTTTGATAGCTTCTTTAAAAGATATGTAGACCTTTGGCATTTTTGTTCACCATTATTAAAATGTAAAAAAAGCAAACCTACAACTAGTAAAAACAAAGTTAACTGGTATACCAATGAGTTAAGAGCTGAAAGAGACAAAATGCTGACTTTATTTCATATTTACAAAGATTTGTCAAGGAGTGGCTCTGAGCAGACCCAATTGGCTTATAACGCTTATCTCACATGTAAAAGAAATTATAGAAAAAACTTAAAACTAACTAAAAAAATAGCTTGTGAGAAATACATTGATAGTGCAAGAAACAAATGCAAAGCTGCTTGGGAGGTCATATCCCAAGAAAGCTGCAAAAGTTCCACCAAAGTCATCCCTCTTGACCCTGAGTGTGTAAATCAATACTTTATAGAATCTGTCAATGAACTGGTGAAAGGCATTCCTGACACTAATGTCAGTATCTGTGATTTAATGGGTACAAGACCTATAGCTCCTAACTCCTTTCACTGGACAAGTGTAAATCTGGTTGAAGTTTCGAAAATTGTTTCAAGCCTATCAAATTCAAAAAGCACTGATTTTTATTGGATATCCAACTATTTACTGAAACAGACAATAAATATAATTAAGGAACCACTTGCTTATATAATAAGTAGATGTTTAGAATCTGGCTATTTTTCAAATATGTTAAAATTGTCTAAAATTACACCGGTTTATAAGAAAGGAGACAGAAATCTTCCACAAAATTATCGTCCTATATCCGTTATTCCAATTTTTTCAAAATTATTTGAAACTGTTATGTACAATCAACTTAGCAACTATTTTGAAATAAACAGACTATTTTCTGAGTCCCAATTTGGTTTTAGACCCGGACATTCTACGATTTCTGCAGTAATGAAAATTGTCAGTAAAGCACTACATGCCTTTGAAAATAAAGAATCAGCCTTCCTATCCCTATTAGATTTAACTAAGGCATTTGATTGTGTACCGCCTATCAATATCCTTACTAAACTTAACTTTTATGGTGTTTCTGGCGACTCCTTGAAATTAATTGAATCATACTTAATGAACCGTAAGCAATATGTAAATATTATGGGTGCTCACTCATCATTGTGTGATGTCTCCTTGGGAGTGCCGCAGGGCTCAGTTCTCGGACCATTTCTCTTTATTGTAATAATAAATGATCTTCCCAAAAATGTAAGTGTAAATTCTATTATCTATGCAGATGATTCCACGTTTTTTACTTGTAATAAAAACCTTGACCTCTTGGAGGCCAGAATAACCTCAGCTCAAAACCAAGCACAAGAATGGTTCTCAGCTAACAAACTGCTGTGTAATGAGACTAAAACTCAGAATATTTTGCTCAGTCTTTCACAAAATCAAAACTATCAATCAAAATCAATCATCGATCTAAATCAATCTGTAAAACTGCTGGGAATTCACATAGACTCAAAGCTCACATGGAATGACCATGTTGTAAATTTGTGTAAAAAACTCTCAAGGGTCAATTGTTTGTTTTGGAAACTGAGCTCCATAATCTCTACTGACTATCTGAGGACTGCCTATTTCGGACTCTTTCAGTCTCATATTGCTTATGGTCTCATACTTTGGGGACACTCTGCAAATGTCTCAGATGCCCTGATTCTTCAAAAAAAAATAATTAGAACCATTTGTCAAGCCAGGCCTGGAGATCATAGTAGATGTCTTTTCAAACAATTGAAGATTCCTACAATCATTAACTTGTATATTTATCATGTATTAATATTCACAAAAACAAATCTAAATTCTTTTTTTATTAGACGTGAGGTACACAATCACAATACCAGGAATAAAAACAAACTTGAAATCCCGCAACATAGGTTAACAAAGTTTGGAAATTCTTACATGGTAAATTGTGTTAAATTTTTTAATAAGCTTCCCGATAATGCTCACACCACTCCACTTAAAGGCTTCAAAACCAAGATGTATCAATGGCTTCTAGACAATCCATTCTTTACTATTAATGAATTTATGGCCACCAACATAGATAATATATTTTAAGTTTTCAAATTAATGATAAGCATTAACTTTTGTTTGTTTGGATGAGGTTTACCAATTTTATTAATTTAATGTTTATGAAGCTGTTGTTTGGGTACTAGGCTGGAGTTGCAACTTTAGTTTTAATTTAAATATATTTAGATATTATTGATGATTATTATCGATATTATTGATATTATTTGATGTTATTGACTGTATATATTTATGTTGACCATGCCCATCTCATGTAAAAATGATCAACGGCAATAAATATCTTATGTCTTATGTCTTATGTCTTAAAGTGACGATCAGCATTTACCTGGGTGTTAGTTTGTTTGTCGACGGTGGACCGCTTGAGAGGTGCAGATGTAGAGTTCTTCATCAGCTTGGTCTCGTGTCCGGTGTAGATGACCAGTCCAAAGATCCAGCTGGTGTTACGCAGCATGGCTCCTCTCAGTAGGATACGGTCTGGCCCCAGCGGCACAGCCCTGCGACAATCAGATCATTACACAACGCAAATAACCAATGAATAGGGCAACTGAATTTGCTTTGATATCTACTAGAGTACATACAACTGATCACTTAATTTGTGAACTGTGCAGGAGTGACCCTGAGGCTTGCAATGTGTACCGAGGCCAAAACGTCTAAAAGTATTTCGTCCAGTTTGACACAGTTGTCTCCCGAAGACAACGAATCTACAATTATTAAAATTATAACCTGTCCAGGAAGATTCAAAAATTCTATGAAGAGGAACTAGTGAATCTCAGAATATTTTATGACTACAGATTTGAAAGCGGTAAGTTATTAAGAATCAGTCAAGGCAGCGTACTATGCCATGGTGAAATCACATATAAGGTACAGGGTACAGGGCTGATTTGTTAGAGTGGAACTTCATACAACAACCTAAATAATATCTGGTGGCTCAGAAGTAGGCTGTCAAGGTACTTTCTGGCTTTGGCAGAAAGTTGTAGAGAAGCTTCAAAATAGCTCAAGATTTTAACACTTCCAGCACTATACATGATTCATGAACTAGTAATCTACACGAGCCAGCTAAATCTTCCTAGGAATCAGGATTTCCACAACCAGCATACTAGGGGAGCTAGATACTACAGCCTTCCATCCACCAAACCACAAAATTCAGTAAGAAACCATCGTATATTGGCTGCAAAATTATAAATTCCCTGCCAATGAACATGAAAAACCTGTCAGAAAAAAAACTGAAAGAGGAACTGGCTTGAGGAACTGGAAAGAGGAACTTTGGAACTGGCTTATAAATCAACCAGTATCTCAATCCAGCATTTTTTGACCCATGGAAAATCAAAGAAACCAAATAATTATCGTAAAGCAAGAACAACCTTATGTTTTATGTATTTTGATGCTAATGTATTTTTGAAAGAGATTGAAAATAAATAAGTTTATTTATTGTCTATTAGGCTGATTAGCCTTCCTGAAACTTGGCTTGATTTGTCAACTGAGCGGAAGTAAAGTCAACAAATGGTTTAGTTACCTTCCTGTGATTTAATATCCAGTGCTGCCACAGTTTCATCCCTCGGGGGATTATTTTCTGGCCAAGGACTTGAATGGATTAATTATACTAGAACTCGTCATTTTGTTGAAGACAACAACAAATAACACAAAAAAAGTCTAGACATAACCAACTTAAATGTTGCCAAAATTTTAACTAGCCTACCTGGATTTGAACCTTCAATCATCGGCGCTGTCTCTCCCGGTCAGAGAGACAACTCCTTAAACTCAAGCATTCACGCACCTGAGTGTTTCCCGCTTAACAGCTCTTGTCAACCAAAGCCAAAGATCTCCACTTGACATCTAGGTTACAGCACACATCTACTTGCAGCGAGTTTTAAGTGGAATTTTTAATATGGAAATTTAGCATCCAGTATATTAAACGATGAAGCTTACAAGGTTAAACTGGAGTTTCTTTACTCACTGTTTCTCGCCCTCCTTCAAATTGCCGCTGAAGTCGTACAGATGTCTGTTGGGCAGCTCACACTCAACTCTTCCTCTGAACAGCTCCAAGTCTTTGGTCTCCAACAGTTTGGCAGTCTCCGGTAGGCCTTGTCTGATCTTGAGGTTGGTCTCTCCGTCGAGGTTCATCGTCTCTATGTAGCACATGGCTTGTGGCTCACTGAAAACATAACAGCGTCAAGCGGAAACTTCACAAGATGTTCTTTAAGGAATCATTGCGGAAATTTAATTTTATGAAAAGAGCTTTCACAACGTTTTGGGACCTATAATCAAAATCTAAACCCTGACTTTTTTCAGGTGATTAAGTACTGAAACAACAAAACTGAAATCTCACTAACAACAAAAAACACAAAGAACCGTATGTTTTGATAGTAGGCAAAATAAGCAACATAACATAAAAGAAAACAACAATGAAGACAAGTAGAGGGCTGTTGAAGACAAAAAAGGTCTGCACAGGATGCTTGCTCAAACTTGCAAAAAAATGAGCATGAAATGAGCACTAAACAAGATTGTTATTTATTAGAAACATGTAACTATTTGGCTATTTTACTTCACTTCCAATAATATGAACTCTCCATGAATTATAAGCAATTTTCGGCTAGTAAGTGGATAAACTACCTAAAATTTAAGTAACATTAGGGCCTATGCGTATTCATCCAAGGAATATTGAAAGGAAAGAATGTTGAACTAAACCATTGACTATAGATACAACACACTACAGTCAAGTTGCTGTTTTAACTTTCCAGTCTTTCTAGTAAAAATCAGTTTGATTGAGCTACCAACAGAGTCGGCTGATGTAAAATACAAGACAAAATTTCGTTTTAGAATCTACGAGGCCCCCGACAGCTCACATTGTTGGAGCTTAGGGGGCTTAGAAATACACGAGGTATCGCTTCAGCGCCATGAACTCTACCCTTTGTTTTCTATGATAAGTTTGGCGAATAAACCTAGGAGACTAGATAATAAATCATTCCAATTTATTTTTTTATTGTAATATTAAGTCTAAGTCCAAAACAAGGTGAGGCCAAAATCGGGTTGCTTAGGTAAGTATTATAAAAAAATATTAATTGTTATACTATAATCTGTTTAAACAAAGCGACATTGTGAACACAAAACTAAATTCAAAATGAACAACATTGTCGTCGGTCACAAGAAAATTGTGAGCGTCTCCTGCGGTTGTGGTAATTTTGTGGACATCTTGTCTCTTACGATCTTTTGCAATCGCAGAGGAATCTTAAACTTCTCCTGTGCTCACAAAAAATCGTGAACACCTCCTGTGTTTGCAAAAAGACTTTATATTCGTTTCCGCGACCATGTTGAAATCATGAACGACTCCTGTGTTCGCAGGAAAATCATAACTTTCGATCGTGTAATCTTTGCAGGCGCTTCCAATCCAACAATTGGGAAGATTCAAGCTCGGCTCGAAATTGATACCTTCTACAAGATTATCTGTGGAATTCAATTTTCTTTAGAAAAAAATTCCTTTTGAGGCCCCAGGCCGAGCAAACCACTGTGTCTGCCGTTAGGTAAATATGGTCCTGGTAAAATACCATTTAATTTCTCATCCATGAACTTTTACTGTACCTTACTTAATGGGGAAAACAAAAATAACATGCTGTCTGTTGTTAATTAATTGTAGTGGTTACCTGGAAGATAAGACTAGCAGGTCTGCAGGGAAGAAGTTGTTGTTGTGCACTTTGACAATATCACCAACCACGACGTGTCGCCACTCTACCCACTGCCAGTTGCCCGCTCGCAGCACCTCTACTTCTCTGTGGTTGATCTCGTCGTCCGCTCTGTGTCGCTTCTGCAACAGACATTACATCCGTAACTGATGTGTTGTAGTTGTTTACTTTCAGCTTAGATTAAACTTACTAACACAGTTTAGTACAACAAAAAATTATGAAACAAAACAACTCTTGGTGTAATGAACGTACTTGCTTGGTGATTAAGGATAAGCCATGACAATCATAATGTTTTTGAGCTTTGACGACACAAATTTAAAGTATCTGACAGTACATTCCAAGTAGCCATTGATGGTCAGAGCTTCTAAACGGCATCAATCCTGATTAACCTATGGGAAAGTTTTCTAAACAATGTAAAATGGCTATTATGGGTAGGCAAAGTTCATGTTAATAGGGTCGAGGTTAACAATACTTTACTAGCTGTATAGCTACCATGGTAAAATTTAGTAGTCCGTACTTACATAATCTTCAACGATTTCTTTCAATGCTGATACTAGAAGAATAAATATAAGAGGAACTAAAGTTGTGTAACGTCCTGTAGGCGAAACATCAGGTATTTGCTGTAACATTAAACATCTGTGATTATAACAAATAATTAATTTAATGAATCAACTTGCCGTTATCAATAGATATTTATTTATATAGATAATATGGTCCAAATTAAAAATAAACTATTCTCTGAACTGCTGTACGGTCAAGACCATGCGTGGTTTTTGATTTGAGGCAAAAACAAATAAAGGACTTTTTTAACCAAATAAAAACAATCTGGCGTACCGGTAGACAAAAACATTGAACCAACAACAGTGTTTGCAGACTTCCAGCCTTGTTGTGACATGATAATTGTAAAACACTACCCATCACTTATTTCTGTAACTTCTTTTTGTAAAGTCTTTTTGTATAGGTTCGTATTTTGACTTTACGATTTGGATTTTGACTCTGTTATTCTAAATTTGTACACAAACAAATATGAGAAAAAAGAAAAAGTTAAAGAGTGTTTTGTGGATTATGATGGTTTTAGGACTACTAGTATCACTAAATCTGCAGCAATTTTAAATACATTGCTATGGGTGCTCCATACTGCACGATAGAGTATAGGATGAACCTTTTTCCACCAATGGCAATCCTTTGAAACCCCCTTTTGCTTAATATTTATGAACTTCCGACAGAATTCAAGTTACCTGCATCAAAGCAACGAAAAGGAAAAAACAGTTGGCATAGCGTCTGAACTGTTCGAACAGGAAACTAGGCACGAACGATACGACGCTGTATTTCGCCGTGTGGATATGGTTGGTGCAGAACTTGTTGGGCTGTGGACGGTTGATGAGGATGACTCGGATGTCCGGGTTACCCTCAAACCCGCAATCCACTGTGTCCATCTCTCTCTCTCCAACCAGGTTGTTGCGATCCTCTGGATCATCTGGAGCAGACGACAGACACAAATCAGCTGACAAACCATTAAACGGAAATGAATCAAGTTTTTAAAGGCCTAATTGTTTTGTCTGAAGAGTGGTTCATTGTATGCCATTACCATGTTAAATTTGTAGTTAATTTTAGAAAAAATTAAAGTAGTTTAATTGGCCCACCAACAGGGTACGTTGATATAAATTGAATTCTGATTTCTGTTGAATATATTGACTTTCCAACCACGCTTAACTGAAAGGATAACTTGTTGTCAACTAGAGGAATTAGGGACTTCGGGCTCAAAGCAGCAATATCATGGGTTCAGATCCTGGTATCAGCCACTACTTTTTTAATTGTAAGAAAGTTTATTTTTATTTTTTATTATATTTTAAAAGTTGTGAAAGGGAGGTAGGTAAAAGAAGAAATAGTGAAACAATGAATTTAGAAAGTGGATGAAGAAGAAAATATTAGAGAAGTGAATGGAAATAAAAATATGATGGAATAAAAACTAGTCTATGTTCTTGTTTAAAACAGAGAAAAACTTATCGATAAGTGATTCATATGGTGATAGAGTAACAAAATGACTAGATGAGAACTAAATAATACAGTATTGTGATGTAGATGTAGAAAAATTGTGCATAAAGAATAGATAGTTGAATTATTTAATATAATTTAAAGCAAGCAATAATGGAACGGTTGATCTAATTTCACTCACAATATTAAAAGTTCAAATTTTATTTAATTTATTGTATTCATATAAAAGTTTTCAACACATTTTCATAAAAAAAATATTAAAAAAATAAAAATAAATAAAAACACAGAAATAACAATACAATCAGTTTGTATTTGTAGTACCCAGTAACAAAGGTTGTAACTGTGATTTGTTGTAAATTTGTAACACCCAATTTGCAACATATGTTAAGCAATATCGTTTAGTTTTAACCACAAATATTAGAACAGAAAGTCGTGGATCATAACATAATACAAACTATGTCACTGGCCCAAAATTATACATGTATTTATTACTATTTAAAAGGAACTGTCAAAAAACGTCCCAACCAGCTGTTAGTTACGGTATTGGTGTAGAGATTCGGGCCAGTGACGTAATTTGTTTGTGTTAAAGATCCTTGCCGTTTCTGTTCTAATATCCGTGGTTTTAACCAAACAAACATTTTTTTAATTCCCTAAGTTAACTTAAAAAAACATTAAATAAACAATACAAATCAATAAATCGCCTAATTGTAACTTGACAGCTTAATTATAAAAGAAAATCACACCCCTAGTTTCCCAAAACTAAACAACCCCTAAAACCATAAGCAACCAACAATACATCAAATGCAATTAGGTGAATAGGCGATAACGTGTTTTAACTACAATAATACATTACATAAGCCAACCATATGCTTACCACTTTACCACTTACCATCACCAAGAATATAATCCCTCACTCTGACATAATACTTGTGCATAGTCTCGACGACAGAGCTCATATTTGCGGTGATATACGTGTGGCTGCGTATATTGCGATGTGCTGTAAATGTTTAATAGCTTACGGTCGACAGTGTCAGTGTCCTAAGACCATCCGTTATCCGCCATGACAGGGTTGTCTAGGAGTGTGCGCCGCCCGCCACCCCCTATCACCTACCACAACATATGACGTCACAACACAGCACTGGGTCGATACCGTCGATAACCACTATCACTGTCGGGTCACGGTGAAAATCTATTGATTTATCCGTACCGATAGGTCCTCTGCTGTCTCCTTCCAGGTTTGTCACTAGCTTACGTGTGTAGTCGGTTAATTAATTAAAATTTTACCGATAGAGGCCTGGTTGAAAATTGTATGATTAATTAAGACTTCCAATCAAGTCCACTACTATCTCTTTCAAAGAGTATCACTGTCGCATAACGAAAATAAATCTATTTATTCAATATTTACCGATGGACGAATATGCATAGCCTTTTTACTATCGGGTTACGGCGAAAATCCAATAGAATTCGAATCTTACCGATATAGGCATCTTCTTTCTCTCGCGAGGTTTATCACTGCTGGACGACTACCGGATGCATAGCTGTCGGATGACTGTGTAGAATCGATAAAACAACTCGAACATTACTGATCGAGATCCCTGAGTGTTATCACTGCCGGGTTACGGTGGAAAATCGATTAATTAATTCGATACGACCATCACACTTCACTAGCAGGAAGTAGGTCATTGCTGTTTGTTGCGAATTAACTGCAGCTAATTATACAATCAAAGTGAAATGGGGGAAATGAATTGTGGAAATGCCATGCGCGATGTACACTATAATTACCTCAAATCTGTTTAAGTACTTTAATGACACGAACAAGTTTGACTTCCGGTAAACATATTTTAATACCCCCAATTTCTTTATAACCTTGGTATAGTGGAAATTTCTTAGTGTAATACGAACACTTAGTGTTATTTAACTCACTAAAAGAATGTTGAACAGTGGGGACTCCCGAGATTTCACAGCGGCTGATTTACCTTATATTGAGTAATTAATCAACTCTCAAGATTTCACGTACATTTGCGAAAAAAACTATACTAGTCGAAAAATGACACCTATATTGTAACCAACGTAAACTTCAAAAATACGTAATTTGCAATAAGACTTTGTCAGCCTCTAGCATTTTAATTGTATAAAATTGAAAAAAAATCCTAGTTGTATTTGCATGAAAAATAGGAAAGATGTTATAATGGGTTGAATGTGAAAAGCAAATACTGTTAATAGAGAAAGAAAAAGTAACCAGCCTCCATGTAATATTGTTCTTGCCGATGTTCTTAGTCAGACTACTCATGTCAGACTGTTTAATGACAAAACATTACACATCAATGATAGTATTATGTTATTGAACAATATAAACCAAGAGTTTAAGAAGTCAACGATGAACACCTACAACACTCGTAAAACAAGATACAATACATCTTTAGAGCTAAATATAATTGTAGTTCAAATAAAAAGATTGCATTCTCTTAACTCGAAATCCCAACATAGGTCTACAATGATTTCAAAAGGCAATCGGTCATTCAAGCAAAAAATCGCAAAACAAAGAAAACTTACTGATAAAATATTATGATAATATTCATACAAAAGAAAACGGAAGTAAAATTATTTGTAGTTTTTGTAGATTCCGATTCCGAAATACAAAACTAAAAATTACACCTATACTCTGATAAAGAACTAAAGAAAATAAATGAAACAGAACATCAAGTGAAAAAACGAACTAAAACATAGAAGACCCCAACCAGCACACATCAGATCCACCACCAAGCGAAAATAAAATAAGAATAAAAAAAATAGAACAGAAACAGCACGAAGATATTCACAACATCGAGAAAAATAATAGAAGAACGTAACGTAGTGAATAAAGAACGAATAAGGATTTACCTTTGTCAGGAGGTTGTTTTGAAGATGAGGATTCCCAGGACTTTCCGGATTTGAAACTAGATAGTTCCAAGCCAGCAGACATCGCTGGGGAGGGGAGGGCGGGGAGTGGAGCTCAGCTCTCCCTGGACCATTACACACACATCAGTACATGCAGTCTCACAAGTCCGAACAGTAGCACAACATCGAATATTAGATAGCTCCAAACGTAGCATAACACCAAATTGCAATACCTTTGTATTATATGATCTATCTGTCATATAGAATATAGATTAGGCGAGAGGTTAGAGGTTAGACGATTTTACGAGCACCACATACAAACCAGAAATGGTCTCACATGACCGAAAAGTAACAATGCATGGAAAGGCAATGCTCAAACTATCATGTAAGGGTGAGCGTGAGAGGTGAAACGTCATACACCATAAATTCACAGGGTTGTCTTACAGGGGCGAACAGTATCATAACGCCGAATGACAACGATATTTTATTGAATGTCCAAACCATCATCTTAAGTATCTTAGAATGCGAGAAATGAGACGACCCAGGTCTATCTGCACCATACACAAGCACTAACTACATCAATCGTCTCATAAAACCGAAAATATTACGGCATCGAATATTAGATCGTTGCTGAATATTCCATTGCTCGAGTTAATATACGAGTCCGAGTAGCGGTTGACTTCTTTGTTTTGAAGGCCAGGGTTCGAATCCATATTGTCACAAATTGCATGTATCTATTTGTTAAAATGATAGGTCTACATGTATTGTAAGGTCTTTATATAAATTAAAGGGGATGGTTTTCACGGGTGGAATAAATGGCTTTGTACTGAATAACCCCTTTCGCTAATAAGCGTTGGTCTACTACTAATTTAATTCTTAACATAGGTGATATTAAAAACCTCTACAGAGTTTTATGAGGAAGTAGTATGCAACGAGTCTAAGGAACATAGCTAAATAAACTATGTACTACAAAGTGGTGAGTTCTAATCCCAACATAACACATAAAAAAATATAAGTAAAAAATTAAATGCACCTAAACCAATACTACTGATTTCTGCTGAATGTTTTTCTAAGCCTAATGAACGTTAACGACTATAACAAATGACTATCAACAAAACATTGACATTTTTCTCATTGCATCCCGTTATGCAAGCAAGACACACATCTGTGCCTTGTATTCATCACAGCTCCATGCATATTCCGTGTTGTTTACAATCTTGAGTCGACAAAGCCGTGAATATTTTACTGTTCTGCTATTCTCGCTCGCCCAGTCCGCCAGCCCAATAGTGTCTGGGATAATGTTACCATTGACTGCAGATACAGCATGTAGGCTTTATGTAAATCTGAAGCTTTATTTGATGCTTCCAATGAGTGATTTAGTGTGTTGTTGATTAACGTTTCTCCTCAAGGGCAAACTTTGCCACCATTGAGTAGGACATCGATATCTCAAAGCTGAAGTGGTAAGAAAATTCGAGTTATCGAGTTGTTATGGTAAAAGAGGTTCGCGTTATTAAGTAAATTCGAGATAATGAGTCGTTTAATTCTGACTAAGATGTTACTACCCTCATAGCTCAACTTTTACTTTTACACGATATACCTTTACAACTCGAACTCAAGCTATTTCTACATACTGATGAGTGATGAATGAGTAACTGTAGAACTAAGATCAACTATTTATTCAACTCTCACAGTACAGTATATTTTAATACTGTATGTAACGATTATAATTTAGGATGAACGTAACATCTTACACATTACAAATCAAGTTGACAACAAAAATATAGGTCCAGAGCATAAAAAAAAAAAACTACAAGAAAATAACAAAGAATAAGTTGTTACTTGTTTGTTATAAATACTATATAGAATGCAGGACTTCAATTAATTTTGCACAATATACACCTACTGAAATAAATATATCACAATGTTAATTTATGTTCAACTTAGACTGATTTTTCTGACTTGTCTGTACATTCTTTGCTGCAAACGCTTTTAAGTAATGAATTTGGTTACAAAAATAGAGGATGTTTTATTTTTCCGTAGTATATTTAAAGATTCTTAAATAATGAATACAGAGATATAAACATCAACACATTCAATCATTACGAATCATAAAATTGTTTTCAGCTGTACCCCAAGTATGATAATTCTATGATGTAATAAAGAGTGATTATCGACTTTATAACGTCATGCGTCATAAGAATGTAGAAAGACCCAACGACGTAATCACCCTCTTGACCGCATGAGTCCGCATTCTCATTAGTCCAGTCATAAGTGAGACTTTAACTTTACCTCATTGTAAGGTAATCGTGTTATGTTTTTCATTACTCTAGGTTCTAGCCCGGAATTGTTATCCACAATACTCCGAACTTCAGGCTAGATCTTAAAGCTAAAGGGGGTCACGGCATTATAATTTAAAATCCATTGGTGATTGGTGGGATTTGAACCCGGGACCTCAGGGACTGATGTACCGCTCTCTGTCACTAGAACAGCTCGCTCACCAACCGTGTTATCGTTAAAAGCATACTTGGTTTAAAAACTAACTTTTAATAGTTAACTACTATTAATGTTATTACTATTTACTGTATTTAGTTTATTGCTATTAATTTAACTGTATTCTTATTATACGGTATTAAGTTAATCGTGTTGTTTTCTATTCATCTCTACAGACTAATGTAATGGAAGTTTCGACATTGTTTTGTCGACAAGGGAATATAAATGTGAACAGTAATATCGTGGTGTTGGGCCGAGAATTGACATTTACTAGTAGACTAGCTGTAACCCGCGGGCTTTGCCCCGTTTAACTTCTTAATTTTCAAGATGATCTCGTTCGCATGGCTCAATCACGTCCTGGTTGAAGTTCGTTCGCTACGCTCACTCACCTTTAGGTTGGAGCTCGTTCGCTGCGCTCACTTGCCTTCAGGTTAGCTCGTTCGCTACGCTAACTCGCCTCCAGGTTGAAGTTCGTTCGCTACGCTCACTCACCTTTTGGTTGCAAATTAGCTGTTGTCATAAATGTAAACGAAATAATAGTGCTGCACCCTGTTGGTAATCCTTGTAACTTTAATGCTATTGAACATCATAGAACAGAACCAACTTGTTTAATTGAAACAGCTGTTAAGATTCATTAATTCCATTTCTCATAAGGTTAACATGGGAAACTCCAGAGCCACTGGGGCGGAGCCGATTGGACGGATCACGAAATTGATGGTGTATAAACCTATTCCATGAAATTCTACACGTATGTACCAAGTTTCGTGGCAATCGGTTCAGCGGTGTCTGAGTTTATCACTGCCAAACAAATATATATATATATATATATATATATATATATATATATATATATATATATATATATATATATATTCAAACATCCTCTTTTATACTTATAGATACTGTAGTAGACAACTCATCTGTATGGCTCAGCTGTAGCCAATCTGTTACTCAAAGAGAAAATGGGACACTGCGGTCATAGAATGTGCTATTATTTAAGTTACATAGGGTTATTCAATAGGGATGGTGAAAAATTAAACGTTTGTAATGTCATTTTCCGTGATTTCAAACAGCTGATTGTTACAACAATGGAAACGGCGTGTTTATAAGTTTGTTTTGACTCGGGGATGTTTAGTCTCAGTTGCGTTGAGTAGGTACCATGAAGTCTGTCAACAAAAAGGCTACTAAAAACTATTGTTAGTGTGCAGCGGAACTTTCGGACCAAATTCACCAAATTTAGGGATGAGGATCCTCATAGGAACTGCATAGCTCGTGGACGGTACAAGAAGGTTATGTCTGAAAGATCCGTTGAACACTGACAAAAACACTAGTACTGTACGAGCAAACTCCATAACACAAAATGCCTTTTCTTGTTTTGCAGTAGCTATTTCTCGACAGAATTTGTGGTACTCAACTTCAACTTGGCATCTGAAGCAAAACATAACCTAGTCAAAACAAACTTATAAACGTACACCTTTTCCATTGTTGTAACAATCAGCTGTTTGAAATCACGGAAACAGGCGAACATACCGTATAGTTTTGCCCAATTCTTATTGAATAACTTGATATAATTTTGCATTTAGTATTTCATCATATGACAAACATTGATTATATGAAAATGGTAAAAAAATAATTTCCCTCTCAGATTGGCATGACAGAAAACTCGGCATGTATGAAAAAATCTGTATTTCGCCTACTGTTATTTTTTATCCAAAACCTGGCAAAAACTTTTACATGGGAATAACTACTCCTCGGCATCGTATTTTATAGTCAAAAGTCGTAGCAACACGAATTCAAAAGTTGTAGGACACCACTGATAACAATTTGAACAGGGTAACGAAGCATGCAAGGCTTTGCAGACGCTATGCTAATGTTAACTTATTTAACGTTTTGAGCTGCGCGTAAAATAACTATTTGTAGCGTTTGGTTTGACGTTTCTCTCAAAGTTACACATCCATTCAAATAGTTGGGAGTTTGACATTGCATTTTTTGCGAGCTTTTCAATTGTAACGGTTGGGTGTTATATTTAGTCCTTGTCCGAAATGATCCATCTTGATAACTACTAATGAAGTATTAATTCCAAGATTCTAATTTGTCATAGTAGTTTCCGTATTTTACACTCTTGACCAGTAATTGGCATCTACTTAATAAAGCATTGACCCAGTGGTTCAAAACAGATTTTTATCTATTTTAAATTCACCTATCTATTTGGAAGGTTTTAATAATCTGACACATACTTTCTCCCGTTAGCTTATCAACAACCCTTACCCCCATGGGCAAGCGGTGGGAGTAACTATGATATTTTATTGGAAAAATAACAAAAGTGGCGTTAACTTGTGAACCGTAATTTTCACAGCAGTGGAGGCTGTATCATTTTGTTTAGAGATAAATGGACTTGATCATACAAAATTATAATTAATCACAATCATTCACGCTGTTTTTGTGGAAAATCGGATTTTCCCGTTATTTTATGGGTTTTATGGGGAAATCAATATTAAACCAGATTTCACAAAAAAAAAAAAAAAAAAAATCTGCCGGAAAGACCATGAATACCCAAATACCAAATTTCATAAAAATCGGACCACAGGTGTAGTCTGTACACATCCACACAGACTTCACTTCGAAAACAAATTCT